GGATTGATTGGGAGGTGTTTTTAGTTTCAAAAGTTTGATTTTAAATTTGGACTGCTTTTAGGGTTATCAAGTTTTATGTTGTTGAGGAACTGTTATTTACTTAATAAAAATGATACAACTTCAATATACAGTCGAGGCCTGTTATGAGCTCCATTATTATAGCATGAGTTATAACGTGTATGATTTGTTATAATGGACTTCTTAATGGTTGCATGTGTAATTCCATTATAGTGCGAAATTTATATTTTCGACTTATACTATAAATTCACTAATGACTTGTAATAAATGTCATCAGAATATTCTTGCAAGTGAAAGACTTAGTCACAATCTTTATTGCACTCAACAAAAATAACAGTTACATCAATCATTACATATTGTTACGGTCGGGAACTAATGGGGGGTTTTGGGAGAGCGCAATCACTGTTGTCACTGTCAGTGATACGACAGAAACAGTGCTAAAACAGTGATAGAAACAGTGATAGAATGGTGATGAAACGTTTCAGTACATTCTAAACGTATACTAAAGAACAATCGATAGAATATTAGAATTAGCTGCTAAAAATAGATCAATTGGTCCGCTCGAAAGATATATAAGTAGCGTAGATTCAGTTAGATAGAAGTCAATAAGTGCATGTTTAGCATGTCTAATTACTCTCGATTCCTTTATTGTAAATAAACGAGTAGTTCTTTATACTCTGAAATACATTGTTAATGATTCATTCCCTGGTAACTTATCGGTATAGCTGAGAAACCGCTAATCCCTATATCGATGAAGAATAATCGCCTCTTGTCCCGCGATTATTCGAGTGGCAAATTATGATAATTAATTGTTATGTAAATGCGCGTTATTATGATTTATACACCATTGTACCCCAGACGGGAGACTATCGACTTTATCCCACGATAGTAACCGATAGACATACTCAAGTACGGTTGATTAGCGTCATTCTACGATGAAATAGTTCGTAAGTGGAGAGCCTTGAATTAACAAGGTCACTAACTGTAAACCAGATATTTAACTAGAATAGGAGGCGCCACGCTCCGTTGAGACTAGCTAAATCCCAAGTGTCGATTACTTCCTGCTCTCCCGCAGTAGTCGGCACGACACAATCAAACAACTGATATTACCAATGATCCAGCGCAGCGAAAAGATGCTCCCGTTGTGAAAAATACAAAATACTTGACGATTTTATTCGACCGAGTAAAAATAATTTAAAAACTTTTCTTCACGTAATGCTTGTGCTGAAAAGAAAAAAAAGAAAAGATCGCTGAAGATAACCGCGAAGAAATGAATATTGATGTCGAAGATGATTTGGTAGATTTGGAAGATCTAATTTCGAATTGCTTCACAAACGTTGAAGAAAATGAACAAGTCCGTTTTTCAGGAACTTTCAGCTTTGAGGATGATTTAGTCAGTCTCTCATGTGACAATGGAGAGATTGATGAAGAAAGCAAATACCACAGTCTAGTTAGATCTTTTCTTCCAACGATTGAAGCTGCCAGATCTCGTTATTACTGGGAAAGAAGGGAAATCTATCTTCACAAAAAAACAATCAGTATACTGGGGAAGCGACAGCATATCTTGGTTGTGCACAAAGAGAAGATCATAAATATACACGTCTGGATGATCATCCATCGAAAAGAGTAAGTGAAGATTGATCAATATCCCTGCAGTGGAAGCATTACAATCAATGTTAATGTCAAGCAATGATAGACATATAACAGTCAATGGTTCATGAATATCCCACATGAAAATAATATACCATGGCCTGGATATCCCGAAACGTGAATCGTGGTTTTCGAAAGATTGAATTTCACAAAAGACTGTGTGAGGAAAAGCTCATCAATCCAAAAGTTCATACTTACCAACAAGTAACTACTGGGCCCTAAAATTCTCTGATCAACAATATGTCACAAATGTCTCTAATCAACTTCTTTCATCTCACAATTTCTTGGGGCAACAAGAGCTAGTCAATCAAGGGTATAAAGTCATCTTTTATCTTGAAAATGACTTTGTCTGCACACTTGGGTTTACAATGCCTTTCCTTACATCATATACAAACAAATAATATCAGCAAAATTATTATTATCATTGATTCAACCTTTAAAACTAATCAAGAAAATTTTGAGGTGTTTGTAGTAATTAATAATTGTGGTAGGTATGGTGTTCTGCTTGCTTATCTATATGTTTCTACAATGACAGCCTCATCAGAATGCTTACATGATCCAACTAATAATATGTAAAAGTTTTAAAAGAATTCTTTTCCTTACTGAGAGCAGATGGAGTTTTGCCTAGTTTCATTCTTCTCAATAAGGATAGCAGCTGCAGAGGAGGCTTGGTCTTGGACTGCAAATATTCAAATTTGTCTATGGCATATAGAGCATGCTGTTGAGTGAAAATTAAGAGAAAAGAGACATAAGACAAGTCAATATACATCACATGTGGCAAATTATGCAAGAAGACTTTGAATTTATTGATGAATCTTGGATACCTGATGGACAAGTAAATAACTTGGCTGAAGAAGACATACAAGACATTTTAAAGATGATTAAAAGACATTCTGTTTTACATCCCCTTATTCCAATCAATGAAGGAACATTTCTCACTTTTGATGATATTTACCAGTGAAGTGTACTTTGTTTGCCTATTACTATGGGGGTACTTACAGATCAATTGGTACAAGAAGAACTGTTGGAGTCTCTTTCCTCAGGCCTCATACTCAAAAGCACTACCATTAGCAAGAACTACTATGCTAGTAGAATCACACTCAAACACAATTGTAAGCATAATTGTAACCAACCTTGTTTGGATCACTTAACCCAGATTCTAGCAAAGAAATTAATTTCCAATCTAACACACTGTTAGAAAGCAATTAGCATGACAACCAAACAACAAACAAAATCAATGACTACAGTGTGCTACACTGCCAAATCACAATCACAAGTGCAAGTGCAAGCACAAGACAAGCTTCTTACTCATCTATCTCATCAATCACACAATGCCCATCATGGTGGGGCACATTCAAGCATGACTGGAAATTGCATTAAAAAAGGAAGTTAACATAGATACAACATATACTGATATCAACAGATGGATTTGTTCATACCCTGCATTCATAGGCAGCACATATCTGTTATGCAAGCATCTTAGATCAATCAACTTGTGTTGATTATGAAAGCTTAACTCCTCATCACTACCTTGTACCTCATTTTCAGATTCAGCAAAAGAATCCTCAACAAAATTATTCCAGGGACTATTGGCTGACTCAGATAAGCAGGTATCATGCCTGTCTTGTAAGAGGAAAAAGTTTGGATGTTCTGCTAGAAAAGCTGAAGTGGAGTGGAAGAGGACAAGAAGGCATTTGGGTCTTAGAAATCATTTCAAACAATGTTGACAATGATCCCTTCTACAATATGTATAAGAAACTGAAAAGAACATTAACAAGTGAGGCCCTGGCTTGCCAAGAAGTACTGAGAGCTAGAAGGCAGCAAAGAACATGGAACCCTCCATGCAGATCTAAACTTGCTTTTTGGTTAAGAGTGTATTGTATAGTTTATATACCAGGAGCAATAATAGAAAGTGTTGTTTTATACAATAACAAGTTAAAGAGTATTTTAAATAGTGTTGATTTGACAATCTCAGATTTCGAGAAACTACTGGATATAAAGGGTAAAAGCAATATTATGTTTCACAGAAGCAAAAATCAGTCCTTGGAAGAAGCAAGAAAACAGTTGGACAAGACAGCCTTCCCTGAAGATATTGCATACATCAAAAATCCATTGCAAAAAGCTTTAAACGCATTAGAAGCTTGGGAAAATAAGGGTTGAATTGCAGTAAGTTGATCTTATTTCCTTCCTGTTTTCTGTTTCAGATTGTATTTATTTAATTATCTGTTTGCTTGCTTTTGTAAAAAAAATGTAGACAATATTTCGAATGGTTTTCACGCTTCGTCGGGTGATTCATGACACTCTAGTTATTGATTAATAGCACATTATCACTTGCAACATCTAATGCGATATAGCACTCAAATTTAATGTGTTTGACATCTCTGTTGTAAAATAATGTTAGTAATCTCAAAGTCAGTGGACGGTTTATTAGACGCTCAGCTAAAAAATCATTGTTTTATTGAGTAAGATAATGTTCTTTTATAATTACATATTCCCGCGACGATATCTGTATATAACTATGACGATATATATGGAATAAAAATATATGTATAATTATGACTAAATAACTAAATAATGATGCAATAAAAGCGTAAACATATTACGACATAGATAATACACTAAATAGTATCGTCTTCACTATTACTCGATGATTACGATATTGCAATAATCGTAACAATTTGCAAATTGTACATCAGTTATATTAAAGTTCTACGAAAAGGCAAATCGGTCATTACATATCAAATAATTGTGATACACGAGCGAGTAATGTGTGGGTGGATTTGTGAATTATGATCTTCTCACCAAAGCCAACGTCAACCATGACCAAAGTATCCAACCTGTAATCATCAAAATATCCCTCATTTACCTTAAAGTGATAGTGACGAGCTATTCCTTATCTTTCAACGCATAGATTGATTTTTTATAAAGCAAAAGAGTGACTAGAGCCAAAGTTACTGGGAAACACTGAGTAGTCGTTCCTCCAAATTACTCACAGAAGCTTAAGTACAGAGATAAATTAGAGGGAACGTAAGAGTAATGTTACGCAAAACGTTGACACATATTTTTCGGCGTGATATATGTGTTACAAGCGGGAGTGAAGCGTAGTTAGAAATTATTATATAAATCAATGATTCAGTCATTTCCGCTCATTAAATGTCTGAGTGGTACCACGACAAAAATTAATCGACGAACAATTATTGGAATTTCAATCGAACTGAATTTTTTTTACTACATATAAATACACAATAATTTAAGAACATATACAATAGCCAAAAATAATAACAACATTGAGTCAGTTCGACTATCCTTTGGCCTATAAAAAATTCGGAACAATGGTCGTACCTTTGACAGAGCAAATTACATCGAAAAACCACGAAGAGAGTGGTACCACAGCAAAGCCTCGAGTCTCTGACTCAACTCGGAACGGCGACATACTTGCGCATAGTTCTACTGGTAGAGTCATATCCTGCCTTAGAGAGGCAAAGCCTCGCCTCGAAGTTCGTTTCTCACAATTGATTTCACTCCAAAGATAGTGAAACTTGAACTTCGTCGAGAATTATAAAGGCGATATCAAATCCAGTTATTCCCAGAGGACATTGCAGAATGCGTAGGAAAAAAAATCAATCTTAGTAGTTCCTCATCTGAATCGTCTAGTAATCATGGGTAAAAGCAAAGAAGCGTGACCGGAGGATTAGTAATTATACAAGTCAATGATTTTAGCTACTTCTGCTACTGCATCTGGTCTGTCACAGAATTGAAATGGCGTTACCTTATCTGGACCTCTTGGCCTGTAATTTACGATAACATAGTTCTGCGTTGGAGAAATGCTATTACAGAGAGAGAGATCTCTATAAGTGCACGCTCTCGGGACTTGACGTTAGTATGCACTTAGGGAGGGTGTGCACTTATAGACAACGAATAGAAAACTAGAAAACTGTTACACATAATAGTGACTATAGTACTTTCTCTTTATTATCTTATTATCAAAAGTAGTTCTCGTGAGGGACATTTTGAGTCAATACTCTAGCGCGAGACAACTATTTGCGACAATTATTATTGTGGCGTTTATGTCATCTTCGCTTAATTTGGAAAATGTGATAAAAATTTTTACTGTTTTAGCAAATATCTTATGTCAATGTATTTGTAAGCAAGACTATTGATTGAAATCACGGCGATTAATTGGCTGACCTTTTCTAAATGTCACGTGGGTGCACTTATGGAGGTTATACAATTATATCTGGGACTCAAAATCGCTAGCACGTGTAGAACATGGAGGGTGTGCACTTGGAGGGTACACTTATAGAGGTCTCTCTGTATCAGTTTGGTACACTGTGTATGTATGGTAACTTACTGTATTGACAGACTTAATAAGGTAGAGCAAGCATACGCTGGGAAAATGTATGGTATAGTAGAAGAACGAATGAGCGAATAACGAGTAATTACAGTAAATAGTTTATTTAGTATAGCTTTTTGAGAAAGTATCATTTTGGATAAGATATTGTTTTATTAATTCTTCTGTGTCGGAGAAATAATCAAGCTTGTTTTAGTAGTCGTGACAAGAGTATTACGGGAAATGGGAAATACGAGTTATCGGTCCAATATATACAGTATGTACAATAACTTCCTTGTTAAAGACGCACAATGTACGGTATAAGAATAGTAAGTCAATAGAATTACATAGGTTTAGTGGAATTTTCGGAAAAATGTAAGTAGTATCAATTTGTTAATTCTTTCACAAGTAATGGAATATGATTCGATAGTAACGAAAATATGGCTAATTATATCAATAGGTCATAGTGAAATATGAGGGTAATCGTGTGAATTAAAAAATGAAGTGGATGGATTATAGTTTTATTTCTAGACGTTCATATTTGTTTGATCAACTTGTTTATATAAGCAGGGAATTTCTACAGCGTCCCACGACACTGTGAGAGCAAAACAATGTTATAAAGGAATTGTTTGCAGGAGAATTTATGCCATTAACGTGTACTAGAAATCTATTACCAAGAAAGTAACGTAGATTTGGTCAACTACTTAGACTGGTAGTACGTTCATAAGAGAAAGATATTTCTTTGGTATATTGAGAGGTATTGGAGCTAGTGTAAGGTATGTATTGTTGGAATTTAGTTTGCATTAAATTAGCAATTACAATTTTGGCTAGGTGTTGATTAGTATAGTAAGATTTATGTTTGCAAAGGATAAGTAATGGCATTATTTCTGACTACCCATTTTGCAGATTGCAGGTATAATAACGTGAGCAATAAGAACAGAAAATGCAGGAAACTGAGCTTAATGTTCTTCATAAAGTAGGCGTAAAACTTTTTGTAGTTTATCGGAAGGACGTCAGTATGTGGTATTTGAAGGATTATAAGTTTGGGGAAGTGGTATTTCGGATGGTGGAGTAAAGATAAAGAGGATGGGAGTTGATGGTAATTAATAGACCAACCGCGAATTAGTAACGATCATTTCATTTGCTTGAAGAGAATCGACGGTAAATATTATTTTTCAAATTAATAAGTAGGATGCAAAAGAAATAAAAAACTTTTTATTATAGAAGTGTATGGCAAAAAAGCGGTTGATAAGTTGTTATTTATACTTTTTATAATTATATATGGGAATATAAAGTGGGAAGTGACATTTTTTTGGACAGCAAATAACACGCAACAATAATAGGACTGTGCAACAAAGACATATTTACCGACGACGATCTTTCAACATGTGACACACAACGCTGATAAAAAATGACAGATGTAAAGACCCATCTTGTGGGTATTGTGGGCATTGTACACAGAAGAAACATTCGAAGCTCCAGATCACAGCTCCCTCAACAAATAGTTGTAGGAACATCAAATTTGACTTGCTTGAATATCATCCACTCTCCAATCCAAGAACGTAATGCTATCAGAGATACGGAAATACCGCATAGCCAGGCTTTGCTCGCTTGTACAATCTTTCTTCTTAACGATAAAAACTATTAAAAACTTTGCAATTGCATGTAATTTCGTCAGCGATTGCAGAAACAGAACAATCCGATGCGATGGGAGGGAGAGTATTGTCGAGACAGGAAGCACGTGCTCAAACGCACTAGCGACGCTACTCACGTGCATGGCATTCTTACCAGCAAGCACAACTGATTATTTTAGAGTGTGAGTATTATGATGGTTATTTCAGTTTCCTTATTATATAGAATCGCCCGAACTGCGGTCCCCAAACTTATCTAAACTGCAAGCCTAATATTATGAATATCAATCTTTAGAATCGGATGAGCTATCGAAAGATTGCGCCACTCGTTTGACTGTGTGTCGAACCTTTTTAGTCTGATATCTCGTTCGATAATTGCAGCCGATCATTCACACTCAAGCTTGTGAATTAATGGATGACATTACAACTTTTGGCAATGTTGTATGCTAGCGAAGTTGGGATGGAAAAATACAAATGCAAATTTTTGTAGCCTTTGATGAATAATTTCGACAAAAACGCAGGTTCAGATAATGCTAAAGGCTACTACGCGCAAAGTACAGAAAATGAGTTTGGAGACAGGACATCTCTTACTTTGTGGATGGGCTAGCGACCGTCATGTTGTGTGCTGCGGTAACTATTTATTACATCGAGTTTTTATGAGTTTATTTTCTTTTGCTAATTCTCGTCTTCTTTTTCTCTATAGATTTACGTAAAGCCCGAGCATTTGTTTTATAAAGATAGAACAGCCGCATTTGAAACACATTTTAAAAGTGTATGCATTGGTCCCGGGTTCGGGCATGACCGGAGAAGAGGAAATTAGTGATCGCTCGAGTGTCGAAAGTAGGAGTATGCTCGACGTGCAGTTCGTGCATCAAGTGCGGACTCGTTCGCGCTTTATTGTCACCCGAATGCTTAAAGCAATGAATAATACACTTGATCTATTTGGGCAACAGATAGGTGATTCTTATAGCCGTTACTTTACTACGTACGGAATGTACTTTATTCAGACGAAAAAGCAGATTTAGAAAAGATTGCAGATGGACCGCGAGCGGATGATGATATACCATTTCGATCCGCGACATTGAACAAAATTATCGAAAAAGACCTTTAACCAAAGAACACTGAGTGAATTATTAATGCTACAGTATCCTTGTTACAATGAGCTAGTGTTTTTGCTCAAACTCTCGGCCAGACGTTAGGAATGGGCTAATATGAACGTAACAGTTCTTGGTATGTATAGTTGGTACACGGCAAGTTTATAAACTTGCACCAATATCGTGAAATGAGTGGCGATAGATCTTCGAAGGATATTCATCCCTCGCATAATACCAGTGGAAATGGACTAAGGTTTTAGTTCTTGCAGAAGTGTCAGAAATTTTCTTCAATCGAGCAAGCGTGGGATTTAGCTTTAATCGCATCTTGTCCATGAAGTGGCAATCGCGTCGATCAAGGTTTTAAATACCATCATTACCCAATGTCCAAATGAAAGCAATCACGATGAAGAGAACATATTGCCTTATTGGCCGACTGCATGGATCATTTGGAAAAGGATTCGTTTGGCACGCATTATCCGGCCGGCGCTGAAATTGACAATAAAGCTTCACTGTCTGTACGCATTTTATTCAGGAACGATCAAACAGTTTCATAAACTTTACGTATTTTCTTGTATATTCAAATGATCAAAGGCAGCTAACAGTAAACGTGCGTGATTTTATTTCAGAACCATGTTAACTCAACAATATTAACCATATTGACGCATATTGTATTTAATTGGAAGAGGCATAAACCCTTTGTGTAAACTGTAAGTAATCTGTGAATTCAAAAAAGGTTCGAGTCTCTAGTATTAACATTGTAAATTGCTTCATTTATATCGTAACCAATTGTTGTCTTCATACCTGCAGCTGAATCAAAACCATAGCTATTTCGCAGTTTAGTATTAGGTAAATCCTGTAGGTAAAAGCTTACTAGAGTATTTACTCTCCTTCTTGAGACGTGATAGTTGGTATTACATTACTATGATAGATGGTGTTCCATGTGTTGTCATCAGAACTATCCTTGTCCACCTCTTTAAGAAGGTTTCCAATATTATTCCTCCAAAGTGTCCATGCACTTGGACGTTTGTCAGGATCAGCATCACAACACTGCTCAGCAAGTTTCTTGTATTCCTCTGGTGCTGAATCAGGCATCAATGGTCGTAATCCACCCATAATATCACATACCAAATCTCTATCAAATTCTCTATCTCTAAAAGGTGGTTCACCAGTGGCAATTAAATACATAATAATACCAAAAGAATATATGTCTGATTCCGTTGTAAATTTGCGAGTATGGAAAACTTCTGGTGCAATAAAGGGTAATCCACTTTCTTGAATGACTGAATTTGACTCATGTGAATTCACTGATCGCGAGAGACCAAAATCGCATATGAATGAGTGATCATTGTGTAAAACTATGTTTCTGCCATGAAGATTGCAATGCACTAATCCTGCAAGATAGATTCTATTCAAATGCCATGCAATATCCTTCAAACACTCTAATTTCATCCTCCATGTCAATTTGTTAATATTTCGATCCAAATATGACAAAAGACTACCATTGTTAGCATATTGCATAACAATCATATACTCATTTGTTTCTGGTTCTTGTGTGATTCCATAAAGATTAAGGAAATCATCCCATAAACAACACTTGGCATGATTTCTAAACTATTAAATAAAAATAAATATAGTCAGATTAAAATCGCATGGCTAATTATATCAAAAAATGCTTACCTCAGATATAAATAATTCTGGTGTCTGATCAAAATTCTTAAAGTGTTTGAGGACAACTATTTCTGGCTCACGAAAAGGTACTTCATGTAAATTATATTCAGCAGTATAAATTGTTCCATAGCTACCAGATCCGATCTCTTCAAATTTATCAAAGTTGCTATATGGTATATATTGTACACACCCGCAACGTAGTACAAACCCGTCCAATATTGCATCTACATCATAGTAGAAAACTAAATAATATGCTAGAGTAGATGGCTCTTGGGTGATTCCAATTATCCAAACATTATCGGGGGTCAATATATCTGGGTATTTCTTAGTTAGCTATTTGAATAAATAATACAATCATTAAACAATCAATGCAAATACATACTTATTATTTTTACATGTGAAATAATTTACCTGATGAAAATCAAGTGACTGAGTATCATTGATCTGCTTGAGCATCACTTTTATCTGTTTATTTATTGTTGGATCCAACCAATTTGCTAAATGTGTACATCCATGGCATAATGGGATCATCTGTTGTATGTCTGTTAATAGGGAATAATCTATCCATTGTATATATGCATCATATTCACTCTTCACATTAAACCATGATTCCATAAGGAATGAATCCAATGACTTGTTGCCCATAGTCCAATCAGGAGGTACTGGTGCTTTACACTCATAACAGAATGCATGTATCCTGGGGTTTAATGGATGTGTACATGCCAGGCATAATCCATAGTTATAATATTCCTTTATTAGACAATATGTCTGTCTACTTGTATGGTATGTAAATCCAATGGTATTCCAAACATCTGTGGCAAGAATATCTGGATACTCATCAGATAACTAGTGAAGAATACGTTATATTGTCAATATTTATCTAAACAATGGATAAACATAATATATTCGCATTTGATAGTCACCTTGTCATAATATGGGTCATCCGTCTCATGTGTTATTTCAAGCGTAATCAAATCAACCCAGGCATTATCAATTTTAGGTGGTCCATAAAAATAATTCCCAACATTAATACAATCGTATGGAATCCATTCCAAATAGGCATCATTTGGTGAGTTTGTTTGCAATTGAGATTTCTTAATAAACTCATCGAGTTGCTTATTGTTGCTAGCCCACCAATCGGACAATTGTTTATGCCCGCAAATGCACCACACGGGACTACATCGGAGTATTCCACATGCAGTGCAGAAGCCATATCGAGAATAACAATGGTAAAAGAGTTTATGAGCAACCACGTAATACTTGTCATTAGACTTGGTGATCCCTTTTATCATGCTGTTGCGATAATTAAGCCATACGGAATATCTTCTAAAGTTGTTGCTATTATTATTGTACTCGTGTGTTGGGAGTGAGTATATCCTGGCAAACTCACTCACAAATGTCGGTGTACATTCTTCGTTAATTCCAAGTAATATTAACGTTACCGTCGTTTCATCAGCTTTTCTACCATCATCATATGTTTGCTTGCGAATAGCGCAATAGTAATGGACATTGTCAATTTGAGCTGGTTTTATATCGGTGATTTGTGAGTGAGAAATCCATTCAAGTTTTAATGGATATTTACTTTCTAAGGAGGATTTTACCAAGTTGTCAATTGCTGGATTATGCATACTTTGCTTGGAACTAAACGACAAGAAAATTTTTTCAAGCAACACTTTATTGTGTTACGTCTCACACAAATGTGTGGGATAATGATAACAAACTGTTGTCGAGTTTCGCGTTCACAGTCCTATTTCATCAAACTTTGCTAAAAAGGGCAGAGCAGTTTTATTCATTTTTCATTTTTATATTTTTCGGTTTTTTATATAAGACCGGTAAAGAAGGCACGTTAAAATCGTCATGTGTTTTTCATGACCATTCTTCGTATACCCCCATACTTTTTCGATTCTGATAATTGTAGTTCTATCGTTGATCAAATAGTTTGCTTGTTCATTCAAATCGTATGATTCTTTGTGTGTTAGTTGTAAATTAAATGGTTGCTTTTAATTCCGGGCATAATACAGACGCCCTTCGACATAAGTGTGTGTCCATTGTTTTGAAGATGTTATACGCAAGCTTCTGTGAAATAGAACTTTGATTCTAAATATTTCTCCAATGCTTATAGGGCAAACAAGTTACATGCTAAAATGTGATAATGGTTTGTGTTAATACGCCTTATCAAATAAGTTTATTTTGAGGCCTAAAAGTAGACAGCGACAGCATTTTAATTCACACACATGCGCTATGTTAATTATCAGCGTTGCCATATTCATTATTCACATAGTGAGAAATATTCATATTAACCATTGACTTAAGCCTTGAGAAATTCAATGAATTTTTCGTTAACGAAAGCGTATCCTGTAGTAGAATTATTATTATGTCAACCTGCCATTCTTCTTTTTTTTTTTAACAATTACCTTTATTGTGCACACCGTTTGGATTTCTATCAATATTAGACGTTAATGTAAACTATAGCGTCTGTGGCGTCAACCATTTATAAGGAAAGAACCATGTAAAGACCCATCTTAGCTCAGGATTGTCAAGGATAAGTAGCCGAGATAACATGTTTTAAGTATTACGGGAAAATGATGCTTTGAGCGTTGTGGGCATTGTGGGCATTGTAGTAAGCATAACGGTGCTAGAATGTATCCAACTATTATATTGTAAATACGCATACTCGGGTTGTGAGTAATTGTCCCCATCAAACTATACTAGTACTAGTCTCACAATAGAAATCTAGAACAATCGTTGAGATACGATAATCAGTGGTCCCAAATTTGGCATTTCCCCGGTTGAAATTCAATGAAAGTAGTACTTACTCATTTACTTTGCCGTATGTAACCTGCCATTATTTCTATTTCGGAAATTACAATCGCTACGGAATGCAGACAATAGAGATTTTCGAGTAGATGTTGCAAATGAATCAGCAGTACTGCCAATGTATTGCATTGCAGGACAACAGATAATAATAATAATCGACCAATAACTTGTCGTTTTACGAATTTGGCACAATTTGAAAGCAAACATTGGTCTTGGGAATCGAAGAAATCGCTTACAAAGGCTTATTTACATTTATAGACCAAAGGTAAACATTGTACAACTCCTACAATACATACCCCTCGCCGACAAATAACATGGCTTAGATAGCTCATCCTTGCATACAAACACATATAGTAACCAAACTCTAATCTTTTCTCTAAAAGTTGAGACAAAAGTCAAAATCGATTTTCTTAAGTAGCCCGCACAGTGGCTGAGGTACAATAGATTTAAACGATCTATCTGCTCTCGGATTCTTTGACATTGCCCCATCAAGACAGATAACGGATGACAAAATGACCTACTCATTATTTCCCGATAGCTCGAAAAATATTAGCTCAATCGTGCAAGAATTGGACAAGGCCAAAGTACCAAAAATTCAAACTGAACCGCCTGTATATCAAATAGCAACCAGATCTTCAGGTAAACACAGAGTCGCAGGGTAGCATCGACCATAAACTACTAAAGAAAAATACTTAGCAGCCAATTGCACATTGCACTCTAGTCACGGCATGCTTTGGAGTATTGCATCGTAACTCTGCTTGGCCAGCCGCATATGTTGGTTTTGATACAGAAACAACTGTTAGAAGATCCGTACACCATCGTATGGTGTCGTTGATACAAATTGCGACATCCGAGTTTTGTCTCTTGTTCCAAGTATACCGAATAACTCGAGGAGATGCAAGCAAATTTCCCACAGCGCTACAACAACTACTCAACAATCCCAAAATTCTCAAAGTCGGTGTGAATGCTCGAGGAGATGCCAAGTGGCTTAAAGAATCATATGGTATCGAAATGGATGGAATCGTGGATCTCGATCGCATGGCAAAGGAAAAGGGACTCTATGCCAGATCCCTTGCTGAATTGGCACTTATGTTTACCGATAACGGTCTAGAATTGAGCAAGACGAACAAGATTATAGAATGGGACTTTGATGCTGCTTGTCTGGATGCCGAAATTGTACAATACGTTGCGTGTGATGCATTTGTTGCTATACAGATTTACGAGAATATGCTTGTAGATAAACGAAATCCAAATTATAAATCTTGGGAAGAACGGTACCCTATGACTCTGGAAGAAGAAGAATCTGAACTGTATGCATTACTCAAGCGAAATCATATGAATGGAACGGTAGGCTCTTGAATTATCATGTGACTTGCTTCCTTTTCATCTGTTTAATGTTAATCTGCACTTGACAGGTAATTAAAGTAGGCAAGTTGATTAATGCTGGACAGTCGGCGTATAGCCGTTGGCAAAAGACAAAGCCCGAAACGTTAGATCGTCGACAAGCGATAAGCATTGCCGTAAAGCATTATCTAGCCGATGGCCGACTAATTCTTGACAAGGACGATGATTCGACTGGTCCTGGTGATTCGACTGGTCCTGGTGATTCAGCGGGTCCTGGTGATTCAGCTGGTCCTAGTGATTCAGCTGGTCCTAGTGATTCAGCCGGTTCTGATGATCCGACAGGTTTTGTCGATTCACTTGATGAAAAGGAATTTCTCCAACTTCGCGTTAAAATCCCGGGCGTTGCATTGGGTACTATATTAGAGTTGCCGGAAGCTGAAAGCTTTCTTACCGAAAAAGGTCTTGACAAAAACGACGTTTTATTTATCAAATGGCTTTCACCGCATTTGCACAAGACATTGAGAAAGAAGGTTATGATCAATTTGTGTAAAACGACCAGGGCGGCTGAATTTGATGAGGAACAGAGCAAACTTTACGTTACGGACATGGTTCAAAAAATGACAGGATTTGATGCTTTCAAATCCAATAGTGACAATCACTCTTTTGAGTTTAATCCAGTATGGGTGGAAGAATTGGAACGAATATACGAGAATACGTCAAATAAAATTAGGCATAAGGAAAACTCTGGGGAGGGTGAACTTTCTGGCAAAGGTAATCAGTAGACACGAATATTACTACAGGTTAAAGTAATTGCATGCTGGGTTTTGGTCTTATATCTTGATTGCTTGTTAATGCCGTGGTTCAATATTGGGTGTGTCACAATTTCATGCAAAAACAAATGGATTATAAGAATATTGAATTTTGCAAAAGAGGACCAATTTTTATAAATGAGTGTCAATCCAATAACTAAACCAAAAAGATAACTCGACATCAACTTGATGGATAAATTTACTTTGTGCATAATAATAAGCAAATTGCTTAAAAATGGAATGGTCACAGTAGTTTTATTTTTTATAACAATTTACTTTTTTCTTGTTTAACTGCCTTCAAATAAAACTGTTTGCACTGTATATTATGCAGGACTCCAATTTTTAAACAAAAAAACAGATATTGCATGAACGTTATGTTGCTGAAATTTGTGTGAGTACGTACGTAGAATGTTCTTCTGAAACTATCTTTCTTAGGTAAAAGATCTATAGCTTCGGTCATTCAATGCACATCGATTGTGATAAATTCTATGCTCAACATACTACGCTCTTGTGACCGGTACATTCATTTTTTTTATGAGTCTCTGTAATTGTCAATACATCTTTGCCTTCCAAAATATACGTAGATGCAGGAAATATATACCATCCTTATTAAAAAAACACTATTTATGATAATATTGGTTTACTAATGTTTCGGAAAATCCATGCGTAACGAGATTGAGGTTTTCAAAAACTTGCAAATTGCATAAAGCAAAACTTTCTGTCGGCATAACTTAGTTTCAACGTTTACAAAAGTAATCTTTACTTCAATCAATGCCTTTACGTTCAGTTAAATATTGCGATAACTATTATTAGTCTCAATTCCTACACTGTACGTTTAATTAAACAGAATCTACAACGCTTAAAAACTAATCTGATTAATTTAATATTAGCATTTAAGATAAAAAACTAAGCTCGATTAAGTATGCACCTCAAATGTTAAACTGGAGCTGGCGGTAAGGACAAATCTGCTCAAGTTTAGTTAAAGACTTGTCGCAAGAATATCGACCTGGCTAATAAATAAAACAGTCAAAGACAAACAATTATTGATTTAAATTACAAAAGCCTCTATTAAGAGAACGATTTAGTTATTCATTGTGAGGAATTGGACTTTGTTGTGAACGATATACAGTATCTTGACTTTAGATTAAAAGTCAAGTCTTTTCGTACATGCTTTAACGATCGAATACTAAGCAGTGTTTTATACCGTGGTTAATATTAACGGTGTAACTTGCGGGTGTCGGGGCGCGATTACAAACAATATACCGTTACAAAATTAGCACCCTTATACTTTTAGTCGGACAGTCAGTTGTACAAGTTCTGCAATTTTGTCTGACAATTTACCTTTTCCGTAAAAACTAAGCTCTGTTTATTTTTTTTGTGCACTGATCGCTGTTGATTTGTCATGCTTTAGGAAAGGCGCTAACTATATTTCGTATTTTTCTATGTGTCAAAGTCCGGCTGTTTTCATATGGATTATAGTTTTCATATAGATCTAGTTCTAGTTCTAGCTAGAACTAGAACTAGAACTTGAACTTGAACCGGCTCTCATTTTTCGCCTCCGTACCCACTTTTCTTGGTAATATCTTCAAGAGACATAAACAAGCTGATAAAAATATGTGGACCATAATAAACAACGCGTTTCTTGTTTCTTGTGCAAAATACTTTCGATTTTCTGAGGGCCATTTTTTTCGTAACACTGTATATTAACGGCGATGAAGTATCACGACTCACAAAACTATCGTCTTTCAGGCTACCTATCAAGAGGATAAAATGTTTCCGTTGTGGAACTTCTTATTATCAAGACTGTAAATGACGTATACATTTATTGTTGACCTTGTACTGTGTATATTTCACATGTACAGATAAACGACTTGCTTCAAAAGTTTAGTTTGCTTTACCCCACCATAAACTTTTCCTTCTTTGGTTCTTATCGATGCACACATAACATTTTGTGAAACATATCAATATTAACTCT